GGATATTAACATCTCGGTATGTGTATACACAATATATTTGTATAACACTACCCTATTTACAGTATATACATTCTTGGCTGCACTGACAAACTTCTGATAGCCATTCATCATTTACATTAGTATTTTTATATACATTATAATTTACAATCTGTGTATTGTGGATGCACTGCCATAATAACCCTGATACATTTTTTAAAATAATTTTTTAAACTGTTGTTTTCTTACATAAAGAAACAAGCCTTTCATATTGATAATGCCTAACAGGAACACTATTCTGAAGGATATGCTTTTAATGGCAAAACTAGTATTCCACTGTTAGAGCAGACAAGAAAATCCAATTCTCTAACATAAGTGTGGAAAGAATATGTATTGAAGCATAAATATGCAACTTCAAAATTATTGGTAAATGTCTTCTATACATAGAGGCCAAGAGACCAAACAATTTAAGAACCTTAAATGATACAGGTATAAATTTTTACAGGAGGCACCAATTATATTTTTTTAGGCACTTGTTAAGAGGATAGTGACTGCAACCAATATTTGATAAAAATCTAATGAGTAATATATTAAGTTCTCTCTCTTTTATAAGGCCCATCTAAATTGATGAAAATAACCAAAGTATGCAGACACCATTGTCATAAACTAACAGTATTCTAAAACCTGGCCAATACACACAAACTGTAACATGCAAATGTTAACACATAGGCAACATTAATTTGGCTTACTAAATTTACATCTCTGGGTATCTCCTTCAAAATGCAATATTGAATACAAAAATGAGAAAAATATTCCTCTCTCCTGTTCAGCATTATATATCCCAAGTGGCAGCCATTAATATTAAATATCAGTATGCAGTTTATATAATGAAGGTAAAAACTAATATAGCTATTCTCACTAATACAAAAATCTAGCATTAACAGCCTGGACACATAACACTAAATAATAGATATACTGCAAATAAATAAATGATATACAAATACATCCACTCCAAATGTATTAATAAAATATGAGATCTGTCTAAAATCAATTAATCAATCAATAAAAAGTAGAATAAATATATACAATAATCAAAAAGGGTCAAATTATCATCTGTAAACTCAATAATGTCATTTAAAACTTAAAAGTGACCTAACCCATACACACAAGCACAGCAAATGGACAGTCAGCAAAAGTGCAAACAATGTTCCTACCCATGATATCTATTCCGATCTTGCTGTAATCTGTGGCGGAATTTTGGCCCTAATTACCATCATGTCGACATTACTTTATGAATACTCTCTCACATCTACAAAAGTTTAAGTGACTATTTGTATCTTTTTTGTAAGGAAAATTTTAGGAAAAGAAGACACCTGGAAAAAATAACCTTTCATTTTAACCCCATGGTGTCAGGTAATCAAACTGTGTACTCTTTCATTTGTGAACAGTGATGGCTCTACAAGTGTTTAGCTACCAAGGAGCTAATTAATAAGACTACATGTCCTCAGCTGATTTCCCTCTCCTGGAGTTTCCAGGGGGTGGTGGGAATCTAATGCTATTAATTACAATGTCATTATTATTATTGTTGACACTATTTTTATTATTAATGGTTAATGATTAATGGTTATAAAGCAAAATAAATGGTAGACACTAAAGGTCATATAGAAGTATAGATAGTTTTAAATGCCTTCAAGAGTTTCCAAAATGGATTTGGTTGGGGAGGTCTCAGAAATAAAAGTTTTCTTACAAGATGAGAAGAGGAGATAGGCATCTGAGGGGTAGAGGAAGAGATAGGTAGAGGAGAGGGTGTGGTAGAAGATGGGGTGGAATGTTTAGATTGTCGCCTATGGGAAGAGTAAGGAGGGAGAAAGGTATAGGTGTCTGGATTTAGAATTGCAAAAGAATTTGATTGGGAGGAAGGAAGTAGAAGTGGAAGCATAAGATGGAGGAGGAATAGATACAAGGGGGAGTGTAAAACATCTAGGGAGGAAGGGGGAGCAGCAGCAGCACTTATGTAGGGATTGAGAAAAACTTTGTCAATGTGTTTCCTGCCTGGCCCCGCATAAAGTGAGGCCAAGTTTGAATCTAAAAATTGCCACCAGACTAAAACTTGTAGGTAGGGATTATGGGAGCCACCACAAATGGCACATTTGTGTGACTGTGCATTGTAGCTTGATCGATCATGATCAGGTTGGGCACATAGAGAGCATTCTGATATTGACAGGGATGGGGGGAGGTTGATATGGTTGGACAGAAAGGTACTCTCACCCCTTATAAACATCATGTGGAAGTCATGTCTATGGAATATAATATTGGTGTAGGACTTTCAGTGGCCTCTAGGGGGAATGGTGCAAGTATTGCACTGATACTGCATCACAGTCAAGTAAGTCTTCTACACAATCAGTAATGGTCAAAGGAGAGCCTGAGGATGGGGTATAAAGAGAATTTTACATCATTGGAGCTAGTTTATAAAGGTGCAAGTCTCATTACTCCTCACTGAGGAACAAAATCCTCATTACTGGCCATGGTAAGCCTGGAGTATGTTATTAACCCAATGACGCCGGGTGTACAAAACAAAACAAAAAAAAACTCTACACTTTAGCAAAAAAGGCGGCGCACCGACTTTGAGCGCGTGAGTAGGGGACATCAGCCCGAATCACTGGCTCACTGCGGCGGCATACAGCTGCACGCCAGCTTTCGAGCGGTTTGTTTACACGCCATCACCCGGCACCAAGGGGTTAATACTAATAGCAATAAAAAATCAAGAAAAGGGTAAATAAGTGAGCTAGGTAGTACTAGTAACCGACTCCTTAGTGATTAAGGACTTGTGCAGCCATCCAAGTGTAAAGATAATCATTAAACAAAAAGACACAGCAGACAAGGCATGTATTCATGCCATCCAGGCAACACTGGGTTAAATATATTAAAAAACTATGCAAATTGGCTTTACAGGTAGTACATGGGAGTATTATTTATTTTAGGTTAACAATAACTTTAATTCCTTCATAAAATAAGAAAAAAAATATATAAATGAGACCGCACTTATATATCCATACATTTAAAAAAGAATATTTGTATTTTATAGCAATGTTATTTTGAGATTTCTAAAAATTGTCACACATAAAAAATACAATACAATGTGAATGGAAAATACTTAATTGATAACCAACAATCAATACTATGCCCTGAACACATTTTTAACCACAATATCTGACTTTAATTCTTGACTCTTATATTTGCCATTATTACTAAAACAAAGTGCAGTCAGTGCATGTTATATATATATTTGTATCATCTTTTTTTTTTTCAAACACTCAAACACATTTATGATGTATGTATAAGAAGAAATAAAATTATCTATTGTTCCAAAGACAATAAGAGCAAATGCAGAAAATGTTTTCATATTTTTTAAAGAAAAAGTTTATATGAATTTGAAAAAAAGAGAAGAAAAGAAAAAATATATATTTTGAATCATAGAGAACAGACTCTAAATAAAAAAAGTGGAAAAAAAACTGAATATTAGATATTATGGTACGTAACACTATATTATACTATTATTATTCAATCTACATGGAAAGTTGCATGTTTAGCTACAGGAATTCATCCAATATCATATCTTACACACTTTCTTTTCTAGCTTATATTATCTGCATCATCATCAAAATTTTCCCTTTAAAAAAGTAATAATACTTTTAACCCATTACTACTGGGCCACATATATAGCTCTCATAACAAAACGCTTGATCTGCCAGGTAAAGCTATATGCTAGAGCGCGTTGAGCAGAACTTAAGTTATGTTTAGCGGACTCCTGCTGCATCAAAACATGCAACCTCCATCTACTTTATACTCTAGTGGGCATCATGTCAGTATTCTGAGGATACATTTCAGTCAGTTGAGAAGTGCACATCAACACGAGCATCTACAGCTTGTGAAATTTGATCACCACATTGGCACTAAGGTTTTCTTTTTCCCCCACTGGCAGGGATGGGGAGGGGTAGGATAAACTAATATACATTCTTATTAATAATATGCAGATGACATCAACTGACCAGAGTGCTACGTCTGAATATGCAGGCCCATTGAACCTGGTAATAATATCACAGATGACAATACCATATATGCACATCAAGCTGACGCTGGAAATCCAAACCATAACACTTAGCAATAACGATGGTAACAGCTCCAATATTTACCAAGCAAAAAAAATCCATCTAGGTATCATTAACCTACAGAAAGAGAAAGAAGGATAAGAAATACCAGTGTAGAAGAAATATTGGATGCAAGTACAGGCTCTACTAGCCTCTTTCACATACCTTTGGAAAATATGCCAAGGAGCTAAGGAAACACTAAAGAAGAGGATTCTCGTCAGTCTCAACTATTTACAACAGGCCATATATATATGGTTTAAGAACGGTAAAATAGAGTAAAATAAAAAGGAATGTTTATAGATATTTGCTTCACCAAACAAAATCTTCTAAAAGATTTAAACCAATAACACAGGTCAATGACAGGGGCATACATAAAAGCCTCAGTAAAATCAAAGCCTCCTCAATATCTCTATACAACAATATACATTCTACTTACAGTAGACTTGGAAAAATATTCATCTGTTTCTCTCAAGGACCAAACCCTCAGAGTGCAATATCTAGCTACACAATGACACATATTTATTCCCCTCCTATAAACTATGACTGCAATTGCTATCTTTTGGACACATTGCAGAATCTTTTCAGATTCTTATATATTTTTAACTTGCCACGAACACTGGCAACAAGAACAAGCAAATGAGAAACTAACCAGTATGTGAAAAGAATAAGAATTTAGAAAGAAAGAACAGTTGTACACTGATCAATACATCAGTACTTAAATGAGAAGAAAAATATTTAATAAATAAAACATTAATGGAAATAACTTGATGTAGAAATAATAATACACTGTTTTTAAGCCATTAATACCATGTGATTTCTCACATGATAATCAATTAACTAACACAAGAAATGTATCTTTTATTTAGCAGGTTTTAAGCCATTAATACCATGTGATTTCTCACATGATAATCAATTAACTAACACAAGAAATGTATCTTTTATTTAGCAGGCTGATAATTGCATACACTGCACTAAAATTTAATTTGAACTTTTCTTTTTTAGCACAATGATTTTTTACGAGAGTTCAAAACCAGTGTTGCTAGTAATGGCATATCTCAACTTCTCTCTCAGTGTACTTTTACGCTGGTAGTTGGGTAGCTTCAGCAGGTTGAAGCAGGTGGAGGAAGTTGGCAGGCGATTTACTGGGTCGCGTTTGCGTATGGCAAAGAAGCCACGGATGACACTGCCAATGGTGTCCCCTGTGAGGAAAAATATTTAATAATAAGAATAACAAAAATATTGAAGTCTAAAATAGCGAATAATAAGAAAAAACTGAAATAAAAATATATTAGTATGTACTTTGAAGGAAAGAAAGTTATAGCAATGATTTAAACATCCTATCATGAAAATGAACCTCAGGGAAATGAATCAACAAAAATGTTATTCCCACTTAACAACACTGGTAACATCCCAGCCATTCAACCAGTGTTCCCCCTTAGCCCATGCACTCACCTGTATCCTCATCATCACCAACCTCCACACAGCGGATTGAGAAGGGCGGCTCCAGGTGTGTGAACCCAAGAAGTGGAGGCTTTGAGCAGCTGGTCACAAACTGGAAGAGTGTCATAGTTACAGAAATGAGCAAGAATGAGACATATATTAATGATGAAAGCTAAATAGGTACATCAAATGAAAGAAATAATGTTCTAATACATAATCACAGATATTAACCCAATGGCGCCGGGTGTACAAAAGAAAAAAAAAACTCTACGCTTAAACGACTTTGTGCGTGTGAGTAGGGGACATCAGCCCGAATCACTGGCTCGCCGTGCTTTGGCGCGCCGCCGGCTCGTACGGCTGCACGCCAGCTTTCGAGCTCTTTGTGTACACGCCGATCGACGTCACCCGGCACCAAGGGGTTAAGAAGTAAATTGATTTAAAAATTTAATGACAAAAACAGATCTTAACCAAATGGATCTGTTTGGAATGCCACTAAAAAATATTGGCTGAGGGCTGGGTGTACAAAGAGTGTACAAAGTTCTTGGAGGAAGATTAAGCTCTGTGGGCATTTAGGAAAGGGCTCTTGCATTATTTCCATTGGTAAATAAGCCATGCCTGGAGGAGCACTCTATGCCCATGAGGTCTGTGCATGGAAAACAATCTATTGCCACCTTGATACAGCATATCAAATGACATATATAGACCTTAGAAGAGAAGAGAAGAGAAGAGAAGAGAAGAGAAGAGAAGAGAAGAAAAAGAAAAGAAAAGAAAAGAAAAGAAAGGAAAAGAAAAGAAAAGAAAAGAAAAGAAAAGAAAAGAAAAGAAAAGAAAAGAAAAGAAAAGAAAAGAAAAGAAAAGAAAAGAAAAGAAAAAGAAAAGAACAGAAAAAAGAAAAGCACAACGCGGTGCTTGTCATGGAAGCCGCCATAGTACTGCGTGTGACGCCGGAGGTCCTTCAGGTCTACAGCCACATTGTCTCCCGAAATCAATCGCTGGAACTGAGTGATGGGGGGAAAAAATTCATGTTATACATTGAAAATAAATTTACAATACTCCTTTGGAGCTAAATAAAAATCACTATAGTGGTGTTAACTTAGGGATATAAATTAGTAATGTCTACTGTGTTAAAATAATATTAGTCTATAACTGAGAATGAATTAAAAGTGAAAATAATGCCAACATTATACTGCACATCATGCCTACACCACAGTCAGTGTCCCCCTGCTTTACCTCTGGCACTGAGAACAACCCAAACCACTCAGGGTTGACAATGGACCGGAATCCCCGGATGAAAGCCTTGGTTTGCTCCTTGATCTGGGTGTGCATCTTGAAGTGGGCCATGAGGTGGATGTAGACAATTTTGTTGTCATTGGTCACTGACACTGCTTTGCCCCCTGAAAGAAAAGAAAAGAAAAGAAAAGAAAATTAAAGAAAAAGAAAATAATATTGCAAAACAGAGGTTGGACCTACAAGTCACACAACACTCAAGTAAGCCTAATAACCAGATTTAGAGCCACGTGCATGCAAGGCACCCGGATCCAACGGGTTAATCTTATACAATCTCATAATATTGCTCTCTCCTCCTCTCAGAATTTCACACTTTCACACTTCTCACACCCTCTCACCTTGAGAAAAAGTGCTCTCTCCTCTTCCTTGAAGTCCTGCTCTAAGATGTCCCACAGCCAGCACACAACGCGGTGCTTGTCATGGAAGCCGCCATAGTACTGCGTGTGACGCCGGAGGTCCTTCAGGTCTACAGCCACATTGTCTCCCGAAATCAATCGCTGGAACTGAGTGATGGGGGGAAAAAATTCATGTTATACATTGAAAATAAATTTACAATACTCCTTTGGAGCTAAATAAAAATCACTATAGTGGTGTTAACTTAGGGATATAAATTAGTAATGTCTACTGTGTTAAAATAATATTAGTCTATAACTGAGAATGAATTAAAAGTGAAAATAATGCCAACATTATACTGCACATCATGCCTACACCACAGTCAGTGTCCCCCTGCTTTACCTCTGGCACTGAGAACAAGCCCAAACCACTCAGGGTTGACAATGGACCGGAATCCCCGGATGAAAGCCTTGGTTTGCTCCTTGATCTGGGTGTGCATCTTGAAGTGGGCCATGAGGTGGATGTAGACAATTTTGTTGTCATTGGTCACTGACACTGCTTTGCCCCCTGGTCGAAGTTCATGAGTGATAATCTGGCCGAGGTAATCCTCATCGTAGGAGAAGGTGAGGTCAAGGTCACTCACATCTCCTTCATAGTGCTGGGAAACAGATGATCAATGTTAGGACATTGGAATCTAAATTCTTCACATGGTGTTTACTGTTCCACTCAGCTCAATCAGCATTCTGACAGAAGGAATTTTTTAATGCATGGAGCCCCTCAATCAGTTCTTCCAGATTATACAAGACAAACTCATACCTTTATATAGGTCAGTGACTTGTAAAGCTCAGGGTCTAGTGATGGTAGTTCATCAATGGAGGAGTACAAGGCAGACTGCTGTTCACCAAGGATTTGGCTCAAGAAAAATGATGCAAAGGGACAGTCAATGACAATGCCCTGAAAGAAAAAAAAGAGAAAAGAGAAAATTATAATAATTTTGTATTTTGAATTTCAACACCCCACAATACTATACACTTCAGGGAAAAATGGTTGGAATGCTTGCTTGCACTTTGGCTATTTAGCTAATCACACCACAACTCTCATTCTGGAAAACCTGCTATGAACGTTTGAATTTTAGAACCATAACTGTAGAAACATTTGAAACATGCTGTCATACATGTCTATATCAAAGTCACAACCAAGATTTTGTCAGTGCATATGTAGCATGAAAATAAGCTTGCTGGCTACTACCATGTTACATTCACCACCACACATTATAGTTGGATTTAGAATCAGGCAGCAAACACTAACCTCGTACACAGCCTTGCCCAACATCTTGCCAGTGAATTCAAACAACTGCAGATGATTTTCTGTCATTGATGATGTAGGGGATGGGTACAGCCGCTCCTCACTTGTTAGACGGAACAAGTTCAGTGAAGGATCGAACACCCTCTTTAGGGTCTCCTCCAGAAATTCTGTAGAAATTGAAGAAATATCATATAAACAAATAGATATAAGACAGGTAGTAAAATAAAAGAAAATATTAAGGATTAGAGAAATAACATAAAAACAGCAGTTATAGAAACATAATGCAGAAAGAAATTACACACACATACATACACACACACACACACACACACACACACACACGCACACACACACACACACATATATATGTATGTATGTATATGTATATGTATATATGTATATGTATGAATATAAATATGTATATGTGTGAGTATATAGATATACGTGTGAATATATATATGTATATATAAAAAAAATATACAAAGAAGAAGAAGACAACAGACTATATCTGTCCAAATCTTATCTCTCACTGACCTTTAAACACACCATCCTGATCAATTCCTGCCTCATCTAAGCCCTGCTCATTGATGAAACGGACTCGTATTAACCCCTTAAGAGCTTGAGGCGACAGTGAAGCCAACTGTCTGTACCCGTCCTCAACAAGACGAGACCTGTCAATAAAAATCAAATCTGACTAATTTTCTTCTTGGAGTAAAGTCTTTCATTTTGGTCAAAGTAAATCATAGATAAATGTTAACCCACTGCTGCTGGGAAAAATGAATAAAAAATGGGGAAAATGTTGTGCTCATTTTTTATATTTTTGTGAAATGTCACTGTTACTAGATGGCACTCCTAGTGCATAGCCATAAAGGATTTCACCTTCCTTGAATTGGTGCAAAAAACGTAATTTTACTAGTGCTATAAATATTGATGGTGTTATTTTCATTATAAAGATTATAATTACTATAATGTTATAAACATTTGTAACGGCAAAATAAGATAATGTTAAATATATTCGTAAATTGATGAATAGGGTGAACGGACGAGACAGGCGGTGCTCGTAACTGGCTCATTGGTGATTTAGTACAAGTGTAGCCATCTATGTGTAGACACAATTAAACAAGTAAACTGACAATGGGTATGGCATGTATGTACATGCCATACCTGTCGACACAGGGTTAATTTGTCATCAATAAACCGTTCACTACAATAAACATACCTTCGTACTGTAATGAGTGTTGACTGTGGAGCAGCGCATGCAGCTTCAGTTAGTCCCAGTACTTCTTTTTCATTTGCAACCTGCATTCGCAACAAGAGCACACGTTCTTCATGAGGAATTATGTGTGGCATCTCTTGCAGTAGTACCTGAAAGCATCAACAACTATATGAACATCTAATATGTGTATTATCCATGCATAAGACCAGTGAAATTCCGTGAGATGCTTATCATTATTCATGTATTAATCAAGAAAATGTCTCGGGATAAAATATTCATAGTATTAATAAATAAAAAAATATATAAATGTCTCTCCAGATATAAAATGGCTTCTTAAGCAAAGGAAATAACAGTCACAGGGAAACATCATTTCTAGACATTCTAAAAGAAATGTAAATGAAACAAAACATACTTCCAAACCTACCAAATGTATACAATCATAAATGAGATATAATAATATGCCGAATCATACATGTACAGTAAACAAAAATCACAAAACACACGCAAGACTCCTTTCTTTTACCTGCGTGCTTTTTTTCCCCCGTCCAAAATCTGCCATGAACGATGATACTCGCACCTCCTTGATCAACCAATGCGTATTTGGGACATATCTTCTGCGTGAATTGCGAGTGTACAGCAGCATGAACAAGGTGTGGAGGGAAGAGAACAGGGGACTGTTCTTCACGTTCCGAACATCCACAAGGCCATTGTGGATCAACTATAGGGGAAAGAGAAGGGGAAAATTAATCACATAATTTTTATAAGGAATAAAAGTAGTGCTAGAAAAGAACAGTAAAAGAGAAAACTGATAAATAAAAGGAAATGTACTTTTCTTACCTATAATGCATAGTACAAGTTACCTTATAATGATTCTTGAAAATATAATGGAAGTCACCTAATCTTAAAATCTATATATCAAAGGAACCCAAACAAATTTATTATATATTCCATACAGTGAGTTACAAGGACTTTTAATATCAAAATTATTTCTTTAACCCTTTGTACATGGGTATATGTATCATCTAATGTGATTTTTTTTTTTTTCTGTGCTGTTACAAAGGAGTCAATTGGTAGCTAAATATAATCTCACTTGATTTCCCAATTCCAATAACTTTTTTTTTTTAATATAATGCCACAAAAAGGGATACTGGAATTATACTTTTTGACATTATAATTAATATAATTTTAGTAAAATACTAAGAGTAATGAAAATTTAAGAAAAAAAACAAAAAAACATTCAGAATATCAAGAAAAAGGGTAAATAGGTAAGACAGGTAAGACTAATAACTGACTCCTTGTTGACAGAGTAAAATCAATAAGAACACAAACACAGTAGTGTGTACACAAAGGTAGAAATGCAACACAGACAAAATAAGTTTTTATATTGAATCATATCATTTCAAACTCATCAAAAGTTCATCACACAAACAAATAACCATTTTGGATATTTGTTTGTGTGATAAGGAACTCTTGAGGAGTTGGAAACATTACGATTCTATTCCATTCCTAATTTTGGCTGTGTTTCCTTCTTACAATCAATAATCTTAACTCACAGTTAAATATATTATGTATGTCATGTTAAACCACCACAATGGATAAGGCATGCATGTTTTGTCATACCAGCACAAAGGATTAAAACAGAAACTCACAATGAGGAAAATCAGATAAAAGAAAAGAGCAAGCGTAAGAGGAGAGAAGGGAGTAGGAAGGAAACGGGAAGAGGAGGAAGAGAAGGATATAAAAAGAAAGAAAGAAAAAAGAAAAAGGAAAAAAAAAAAGTTAATGAATGCTTCATCTCAATAAACAATTAAAAAAGAAGATTTATTAACAAGGAAGCCTACTTTATATATGAAGTTGTTGAGAAAATATGCCATTGCAGCATAATCAGCAACACTGAAGGGTTTCTGCTTCTCGTACATCTCCATGTCATCCAAGATCCTGGAATATAACAAAAACTGACTAACTTTGTACACCATACTGGCTCTGTGGAATGTATAGCATTTACATAATCTAAATTGTCATTTACCTTCATTATGTATAACAGATATAGAAATAATGATAATAGTGATAGTAACAATAATACTACTACTGCTAGAACTACTACAATAATCATGATAATAATAATAAGAAATAAAAAATCATAAGAAGTTATAGTAATAATCATAATTATTGCAACAGTGAAAAAAACAAAACAAAACATAATAATAACTAAACACAACAATAATAACTAAAAATTATGAAGATCATACTAACGTCACTAGGTGGGTGGTTGCGTCACAGAAAAGCATGAGCATGTGGAATTCTGGGGCAGATGCTTTGGTTGACACAGACAGCAGATCCAAGAAGCTCTTTAATCCACACGTAGGACCAAGAGAGAGAAGTATCATCCACAGGTGGATGACTATGTCACTCTTGTAGCATAAACCTGAAGAAAATTTTTCATGTTATGGTTTAGTTTTTTTTTTTTTTTTTTTTTTTTTTTGCTGGTACAATATCAACTGCTTTCGGACATTTGAAATCCATTAACCCCTTCGTGCCGGGTGACGCCGATCAGCGTGTAAACAAAGAGCTCGAAAGCTGGCGTGCAGCGAAACGAGCCGGCGGCGCGCCAAAGCGCGGCGAGCCAGTGATTCGGGCTGATGTCCCCTACTCACACGCTCAAAGTCGGCGCGCCGCCTTTGTTTGTTTAAGCGTAGAGTTTTTTTTTTCTTTTGTACACCCGGCGCCATTGGGTTAAGCAATAAAAGCATAAAGTACAAATGTATTAGTAATTTCTTGATATTTTTGTGTGGTATTAAGTGACACCAATTCACTTTATCATTCTGGTGATTTCAACCTCTACCTCAGGGTGCATTACATAACTAGCTTATTAACATTAACCCTCCACCATGAAAGGTATCTTAAAAAAATAATGCAGAGATTAACCCCAATATAAAAAAAAAGAGAGAGAGAGAAAGAATTACACTCCCACAAAGAAATTATTTATTTCTAGTTTCTAAATTCCACTCGTTATTCTTCTTCATGAATCATACAAACATCCTAACTATAGAATATTGTATGCTTCATAAAAACATCACATATAAAACAAAACATCACATCACACACACACCTGTTAGGATATCCATGCGCAGCTGAGACAGTGTAGTGGTTGCAGTATGGTACATGGAGCACACCATGGCGACTGTTGAGATCTCATTCGAGCCCAGCTTACGGTAAGTCCCACTTTTGGGCATTCCTCCACTACCCAGGGGACTGTTTTTGCTTGCGGAGCTGAGTTTGCATTCAAAAGCTTTCTTCAGGAGACTTGCAGAGGTTATGGAGCTCAAGGAGGAGGTGGTGGAAGTCAGGGAAAGCCCTGATACATCATTGCTGTCACTTATTAGGGGTTCCTGCAATAAAGGATGGTTTATTCCAAACTACATCGTGAGAGATATTCAGCACTAAGGCACAACATCAGCCATAAATATCTTTTTCTATATCTTCTACTGTTTTTTATGAAAAAGTTACCTTCTTCAGTTTTCTGACTGACAAGATAATTTTTGTCTTTATTATACATCATCATAATCTCTGATCTTGGAATAAAAAAAAATTGCATTATAACCAATCCAGAATCTGGTTATATGACTGGAATGTCAGGGAACTAAACTTTCAAGTGGATTCCTGAATTTCCCTTCCCTTCTCTCATTTTTTACCTATAATTTCTGAATGTCCCAAAAAGGAGAAAAAAGGTTACTTATAGTTTTGATAAAAATAAGTGATCTAAAAAATAGTTTGCATGCAATTTATTAAACTTATACACTTTTCTTTTAAATGATTACAAGTTATTTTTTTCTGAGGTCTGATTTTTTATTTTCTAATTTAAAAAAATCTAATTTCAGAATATGCCAATGCTGCTAATATACAAATGAAATCTGATAACCATTTTGCACCCTTTTCTTTTAAGGAATAGCAGTCATGCTCAAGATTTTATGAAAGTAAACAATCATGTGAAAGGCAAGATAAAACCTTAATTTATCATGAAACAAACAAGTTCCTATATAATATGCTGCTGCATATATGAGTGCCCAGTGAATGAGGCTAAAAACTTTAAGCTTACTTTTGTGGGGTTGTAACTCCTCAGTCTTAACAGGCATTCATCTGGAGAGGAGTCCAGTCATGCCATGGCATATACATACAATGGTAATGGGTTAAAAAGAAAATAAAAAAAAAGAAAAAAGGAAAAGAAAGAAAGGAAGAGAGGAATTCCTTTCCTCTCTTCCCCATTTCTTCTTTCCCAAAACAAAACTAACCTGATCTTTGACTAATTCTGTGAGTGTAGAGAACATAACCCTGATAACAGGGCCTGACCACAGAAGCTGTAACTGCGTCTTGACAGTGGACAGCGCGTCATTCAGATGTTGATCAAGGGGGCGGGAGAACCAACCAAGCACTGGGTGCCACTGCGTCAGGCTGCTCTGTTTGGTCGTCACATATTCTCGGCATTTTTCTAACAGCTTCGTTACTACAAACTGAAATTCATAAGGTGCATTTCCATACATGGGACAATATATTTAAGTAAAATATCCATTTTTCTTTTCCTACTTCTAATACCAAAACAAAAGCTTGGTCATTTACATTCTCCATCATGTCAAAGATCCACAAGACTGACAAAACTCACACAAAAGAACTTACATTGAATTGCGGGAAAGCCAATTCTTGTAAGGCACCATCTCTCTCTTCATAACCCATATGCACAAGGTTGGCCAAAAGACACAAGGCATAGGGGCCCTCCAGGGTGTTGAAGACAATGCGCAGATTCTGCTCACTTTGCATGAATTCAACTGCTCTTGCAAACAAGTTACTATTCTGTATCATCTTCAGAGCCTAGTGAGAAAAAAACAAAACAAAAAAACAGGTAAGATATGTAATGCCATAAGTAAACAGCTACACTTGGTAAATAAAAGGGGGGGGGAAGGAAAATACATATTTATTCAGTTATCTGTATTTTAAGCCCATTATAAACACCTGAAGCAATTCTACTATTGATAACTAAGATATTGCAATTACTAATGATGTGATAGTAACTTTTGAAATATACAAAAACATACACAAATACTCTCACACCTACATACACACATCTTTTTTCCCCACATATCTAACCCCACATCCACATGCCCAGATCTTCCCCTCCCCTCACTATAAAATATACAAGATGGCTAAAAATCATACATATACAACAAATGACAGCCTTACCTCAGGTGCCAGAAGAACTAGATGGTGAACCAAGGCAGGGACACTCAGTATGTGAATGGTAGTAAGTGAGAGTAGTTTATCTGAATAGTTGGTAGCTATCAAAGGCCGCATGGATAGTGTCACAATTGTTGTAATGGCTGGACCCCTCAGCGCTGCTTTTCCTCTGCATAATCCACGTACGAGTACACACTTAAAAGAGATAACAATAGTAAGTAAAAATAAAACATAGGGTAATACCTGATGTCATACTCTAAGCCAATCCCAAACATTCATCAAGTTCCAAATCTTTAACTTCTAACAAGCCATATTACATGGATCTAATTTCCTCATACATTGTGTAAGCATATAAGAATCAATAAGATACTTAAACCAACTACTTACATTGAGGGTTGTGTAAAGGCCTCTGCACACCAAGTCCCCCATTATATTTTCTGTCAGTTTATTGAGAGCCGGCCGTAGTGGTTCGAGGTTGGGTGCACGAATAATACGCCAAGTGTTGGTGGCCGTGAAGGCAAGGAGGAGGTGCAGGTAGAGTGATATCAAACGATTGTCTGATGACACATCTGCCTGTAAACTCTCTAACACTTTACATGTTATATGCAGAACCTGGAAAGAGGTGAGAGATTGTATGAGTGCATAATTATGGTTATGGTTAACAGTGAAGGTGCATTCCAGTTACCCTCTATTGACTAGAAAAAATTTACACAAAATTAACAACAAATCTCTCATCAACATTAGAATGCCAAATACCTTAAAAGTCTCGTAAGTCACTAAAACGCAAAGGAAGATCTTACATTAATAACTCCAACTTACATCCTTCATGTGCTGAATCCAGTGCAAGGTAAGTTCTTTGTTCATCCCACACGACACATAGCTTTGCTTCACATTTTCACTATCCATACTTGCCAAAAGGTATCTTATCATAGAAAATAGAAAGGAGAGAAAAAACTATTAGACTTAATAAAACCAAAATATCTGAAAACTGTTAATAAAGTAATTACCCATAATCACTAAATGCTATTAGCTGATATATTTTGAAACTCCTCTATCATAGTTCACTATAAGTTATACAAATAAATGAAAGAAAATTCTAACCTGGATATTTCTAGATCATCTTTCAAAAAATATACTTTTTCAAACAAATATATTCCATTTCACTACTATCTTCTAGTCTTATTTATACAAACAGACTTTTTCAATAATATAATAGCTAGGGAGAATGGCCTCAGAGTGTAGAGAAATTAAATTTTCCATTAATTACATTAAACTCTTTCTAGAGCTACAGGCATGTTATATCTCACAAGTGCTATATAAAATCCAGCAGAAACCAGATATTTAGCAAATACTTCAAAAGTCCTAAAATCTAACAGTCATTATATTTTTCAAAAATCAGCAGTAGAACAATTTACCATATTTCCCAACATTCAACATATGAAAGTAACAAACAAAAGTAAATACCTTGTAAAAATCTCAAATCTTTTCTTGTCTTTTTTAAGATCAAATATCTTCACAAATCTTGCAGCTTCTTTAAATGCTTCAGTGGCAACAGGGAGTGTACTTGTCTGGTCAGCAGGCAATGGTTCTGTGCCAAAGACTTCATCAAAATGCTCTCTGAAAGGCAAAATAACAACATTGAATGTCAATGAACATAATGAAAAGTACAAATCTAAAAAAAGTATATATATACACATACAACTGCTATCATGCATTCTGCTTTCATGAATTACTGCTATCATGCATACTCCACTGCTAAAATGCACTGAAGTTCATTACTGTACACACAATTTCATTCACTGGTTGTTTTGAAATTACCTGGGATGTGCACTAGGCATGAACTCAAGTTTGAATGGTCACATTACTGGCCATGAGTAAATGTTATCAGCAACAGATTACTTTTTATAAGTGGAAATAATGGCTGATAGACAAAAGAAACTTCCCATAATCTTGATTTTCGATAAAAAATAAAACAGAAAGAATGAGGGCGGAACCAAATTCCAGCCCTCATCAAGTTCAGTTCTTAGTAGCTGAAAGATGATGGGTGGCTCTAGCACGAACCCATTAGGTTGTTGTATAAACTTACATCAAGTAACCAGTAAGAAAACAGCCCGATATATATTTGCACATTTGTAAGATTTGACAAGAAAGTCTTCTTGACTAGCAAAAGAAGTGAGGTGCAAACCAGCAAGTCTCCTGGTGGTCATTAGGCAAACCTGTCAACCCACTCAGTACTTCACTCAGCCTAAACCCAAAGCCGACAGGCATGGCATGTATGTACATGACATGCCCACTCTGTGTTTACTTTATTAATTATTTTTACACAAAGATGGCTACACTTGTAGGAGTCACCAATGAACAATTACGAGTACAACATGTCTCTCCTGTTTACCCTTTTCTTTGATTTTTAAAAATAGTTTACGTTACCTTATATTGCGGTTATTGATGTTAATAACATCATAGTAATTTTAATGTCTATAATAAAAATAACACCATCAATATTCATAAAATAAGTAAAAAAAAATTTTTCCCGCTAATTCAAGGAAAGACGAAATCAGGTAAGGTCACAAGGTCTACCAACTGACTCCTTTGTGGTTAAGCACTAGCAGAGCCATCTATGTGCACAGACATTTCACCAAAATGTATAAAATGGGCACAGCATTTTCCTGGTGACATTGAGTTAAAACTTTTATAATGTCAATAGATTCAGCATTTACTTTGTTACTTTGTGTTCTTGACAATTTCTGCATTTATCTTGCTGTTTCTGGTTCTCAATAAAATCAGCATTTATCTTGTCTTATTTTCTAAATAAATTCAATAGTGTTTATGGCAATATACTAACAAAATATGTAGCTAGATCATCTACTGAAGGTCCAAAGAGAATAGTTTTCATTAATTCCTTAGTTCTGCCATTGCAAATAATAGGTGCAATTGCAGAGGATTTGGTGTGTTGCTTTGTAGCTGATATATTGTTATTATTAATATCACTGTTTTTGTTGTTATTATTATTAATTTTATCATCATTATTCTTATTATGACTATCATTATTATCATAATCATCATCATCATCATCATCAACATTATCGTCACATTATCACCATTAAATAACAAATACGAACACAGACTACTCATTTTTTTTTTTCCCGACATAAATTCAAGACCAATAAACAAAAAAAAACTGTATGAAAAGAATTTATGATATTACTCACCTTGTTTTCTTTTCCACGCTGCAACGCACGAGCCAGCCCCGTATAGCAGCCTGAATGGTGACGGCGGCTTCATCGCGCCTTCGCTCCGCAGCCCGCTCCTCTCTAGCTTCCCTGGTTGCCTCGAGAAATGCTTCACGATTGGACTCATGGGTGCTGAACATTTTGCTGATGGATGGCCACACTCGGCCTTATCCACCTAAAAAAAATGAAGGACGAATGTACTTAGTATTTAATAACATGTCCGTAAGAAGAGGAAGAAGAAGAAGAAGAAGAAAAGGAAATTCACTATCAGCACCATATATCATACATTTTCTACCTATGGACATAAAAAGCATATCTGTGTTACCTCTTCACATCAATGAGTAAACATCAAATGAGATTTAGCTATATGAGACTGATTTGACGATTACTATGGCACAAAGTGTGGAGTTTATTAAGATTAATTTTTTGTGTTGTTTTATATATTCTCAATGACCATATATAATATTATTCTTTATATGTATGTGGTCATTTCAAATATTCTCTATTTTCAGCACTAAAAAGATTATAAAAATTAACAATAGTAATAACAGTGAGGGACCAGAAATTAGCAGAACACAGTAAATTATATAAATTCATGGCCAGAAATTATAATATACAGTTCTTTTATGTACAATAAAAAAATATGCTACATGCCACATGATCTCCAATTAAAAAATCTTCAATCATTTATACGGATTAATAGGCTGCAAAGCAATATAATAATAAAAAGATGTACCGGTACATATTCTCTTGGTTTCATCTTGCTGTACAATCTTCTAATATGTTACATGTCTCTCTACTGTACAGTAAATGCTAGTTGAGAGGCAAATTTGACATGAGAGGGCCTACAAATCATGGTTTTCATGCGCCTCATTTTTTGTAGATGAGATATCAAGTTTTCCCTCTACAATTTCTGTTTCTGTTTCTTTCATTCCTGTTATGAATTTATCGTCTTATCGTTTACAACCTATAATTCCTAAAGTCTTAATATGTTTGTTTGTCACATAGTTTAATCCACTCACAATAGGATTTCCCTGAGTCATAATGACCCATGCCTTAGGCCTTGCAAACAGTCAGCTGCTCAAGTGATTATGAAAAGTATGGCGAGCTAAAATAATTTCATGCTTTGCCGTAGCATGCACAATGTTTTAAGAAAAGAGGCTAAAAAGATACAAAAGTGTATATCAGTATCTTTTGTAAATCCAGCAGGCAAACAACTTTCAAGCACACACAACTTAGAGCAGCTTAATGCACATGTCATGGTTGAAGTCTTAAAGCCATGTCTGCCATGTCATGATTGGACTTCATCTAAATTAAGTGGGTTGTAATTTACAATAGTCTTGACAAAATCCCTTATTTGATATTTCATATTACACCTTCAGTATACGGTATGTAAAAATAAACATGACTTGATACATGCTTCCCTGTTATACTCTATTTGAATATACAAACACATAACTATATTTATACACAACTATTTTGTTAGAAGTTCCAAAACAAACACAAAAAAGTGCATTTTTTCACTATTCTTAAAGAACTGTGTTAGATATTCTCATATGTTTTTGTTATATTTGTTTCATTATATATAAAGATTAGTTTTTTTTTCATCATTATTAGCAACATCACTGAGATTCACTTTACCTATTACAAACCTATTTTATTTTTGTTCACACACACCCAATCATTTCTTTAGTTTCACCAAAATAATAAAAAATTCCACTTTCTCATCATTAATCCTTAGCAATAATAAATGAAAACACTTCTAAACTCCTCCATAAAACAAAAAAATAAAAGTTTAACACAAAAAATAGGTTTTCAAACTCTTCTATAAACAAAATA